AGCGCGACTATTCCAAGGTAAACTTGAATTCGAGGGTAAATGAAGTTTGCAATCTGAACATAATGTTGTGTAAATGAGGGCTCGCGAACTAATCGAGGTCAGTGCTATAGTGGGACCAAACAAAACTTAGCCTCTTTTCAGAGTGCGCTGTAATATTATAGCTTATTGCAGAGGTGGTCAAGCTAGCAGGCCAAGCGATAAGGAAACAGTAAGCTAGCAGTAGGCAAAGTTTAAAGGTTGTGTTTACATTATTTTCAAATGAATTCTAAACACGTAAAAATCCCGTTTCCCACGCGGGGCACGGGAAAACACATTTTTGAGTCCGTTTCACCGACCGGGATTATTTACAGGTCAATAATTGATTTTACTTCTGTACCCTGCCTGAACGAAACGATATATTGTTACCCCGGGATATATTGTTACCATTGTATTGAATGCTAGCATTGGTTAAAACTCGAGAAAACGTGGGTTCGAATCCCGGTACGTTTAATTAACCGTTGACCATGGCGGCAATAATAATAACAATAAAGTTCCAAAGGTTTTTTTTTAAATATTCGTATAATATAAATAACACGTACTAAAATACAGTGATGGCGGGACAAAATGATATTGATGTTATTGATTCTAAGTTTAGTCTCGAAAGAGCTTATATAATTTACTTCGTTTCACAAATGACAGAATTTTTCACTTAACATATTAAAGCCTTAACAAATATCATAGGTAATATACATATGACAAAAGTAATATAATTATTTTTGTCATAATAACCTAACAGGAACACTTATATAGTAAAGATTTTGCAAAAAGTATAGGTTTTTATTACTATTATAAAGCCTGTAGAATTTCTTTGTTTAGTTGTTATATGCGCTACTCTCAGGGACGTTATTTGGTTCGAACAATTCTTTTGTGTTGGATAGAACATTTACCTGAGAAGAATTTTTGCTTCATAACAACACGCTGCAACTAATAGGGGCGAAGAAACAGAAGAAGAATGTGGAAGAACTTCGAAAATTCTTCATCTTTGAAAGCTTCCGTTACGTGCAATGCCAAAACGGTTCAAGAAACCAAAAAATATATATGAAAGAATGATTTCTTTTTTAATCATTCTTTGATACATATTTTTTTGGGTATAAGGATGATTAACTTTCCCCATTGTTTCGACATTTCCGTTGTTTCTTCGCTCTTATTAGTCACAGAGTTAGGTTTTATAGACTATAGCCTACCTCAATAAATGCAAATAACCGTAAAATATTTTTTTTAATTCGAACCCGTAGTTCCTGAGATTAGCGCGTTCACACAAACAAACTCTATAACTTTATATATTAGTGTAGATTTTTCGTTAACATTATTCATTAAATCATGACGTGATTTACTTTCCTGTTACAAATAAATTATAATAGACGATGATAGGTCATTAACGTTATTTGTTTGACTTTAATGTTTACCCACCATGTTCATTAGCATGCCCAACAAGATGCTCTTTCCGCTTTGAATATTAATCATAACAATCTATAGCCATGGTTTGACTCGCCTTCTTTATAACCCTACCTCAGTTCCCTCCCCCCTTGGTATTAAAACTCGTTGACTTATGTTCGGCATAGGAGATTTAGTATTGGAATTCAAGCACCTAATATAGTGTTTCTTTCAAGCAGGAAAACTAAACTTGAGTTACATCGCTAAGCCCTATATACTGCTGTCTAATTTAAAAATAAATTAAAGTAGTCACCTAATAACCCTTTATTAAAATTAGTTTCAATTAAACACTTTAACGGTTTAAAACGCAATATATATTAATATATTAGGTAATTCGGATGCTTTGCAGAAGCCATAGTCACGTGGAGACTAGTGATGGAGGGTGTCTCTCACGACGAAGTAAAAACTGCTCCGCTAGCGCCATCTGTTCTCTCGAAGTTGATGTTTGGCGAAACTGACCGGGTCCTTGCTTAATTGACTAAAGGTGTCTTCGCGTTTGCCGGTATGCCGATATATCGCGTTTTACACCGTTAAAATGGTTTTATTTAAATGTGTACTACTCGCGTAAAGTGTGACAGTATTACTTAATTTTCTTATTTTCTTTATAAACGGAAAATTTCGGTGTTATCTTCAAATCATGTCTTGAGATAAAAAAACTGTTAAGATATATTTTACCTCTGTGAAACTTCCGTATAATGTAATGTAATGGTGCTTGAATAAACATAAACAAATACTCACATTGTTCATAACCCTTTTTGACACATGTGATTATGAGAAATGGACGATGCTTTCGCGAAGTAGATTTTTTTTGGAAACCACCTGTTTTTAGATATTTGTAATATCATTTTGCCTATTGTAGTCAAATAAAGCGTTTAAAAGTTAAGGTTATACTAGAAAATACGAATACATATGATTGGTTGTACATAGAGGCACAGTGGCTAATAAAAAAAAATTTTTCAATAAGGAAAGGAGGAAATAAAATATAATTAAATTTAAAAATAAATTTGTACTATTTTTTGTGTAAAACTTATGTTAAAAATTGGCTAGATAGGCTTTGAAAATATAAATAACTCAAGTCATAAAATCGCAGTTAGGCTACTCTCTCTGCCTCATATATGGTATATACTACTTAAATAAAAGAAAACTTAAATAAGAGACACTTAAAATAGTAGATTAAATAAAGCCTTTTAGTTGCATATAAAAGTTTAGTGATATACGATGTGATTGTAAGAAATTAAAGATTTAAAACATAATTATTTCGTCCTTTTGTTTTGTTGTATTGTGTTTGATAAAGTGCAAGAAAATAGACAAAGGCGTACACGATATCATGGGTTAACTTAACTGATTTATTAATAAGTAAAGTTGTATAGATATTTGACGACTGTGTAGGTGTCGATTTGAATCATTTCATGGCCGAGCAGATTTTACAAAAGCCATATTACACACTTGATAGATAACGGAAAATTACTTTTGAGTTGTTCGTTGATTTTTATATCTGCGTGACCTGCTCCGGTTCCTATTTCGTACGGCTTGTTAATGATTCATTCGGGGAAGCTTCACTAAATCTGCCGAAAGCATTAGCCGTACTGAAATATGTTTCTTGCCACCCTATAAATAATATCCGCCCTACGCTATTTCACGTTTTCCTTTATCATTTTGAACTGGAAGCATTTTAAGAGATATTTTTAGATTCGTTACACGAAAGAATACGATGCACGCATGGACGAGTCAAAAGTAAACAGTAAACTTGTTAAAGCGTTTATTATATACTACTTGCGTAAAATACAGACAGTATTACATTTAGCTCTTAAAAGACATGGTTAAACTCTAAAATGTGGCCGCTCTAATTTGTTTTAAGCCTACTATCTTGCTACAAGGCTACGACTTAATACAGCTACTAACATATTTTCGTAGCACTCTGCTACAATCGTAGCTCTAACTCACATAGAAACTTTAGAGTTTAGACAATTAGCAATATGTACTAGACCGCCTCTGTAGCCAAATGGATAAACGTATTGCGTTAAGCGCGGAGGTGTCCTGGGTTTGAAACCCAGGGAAACAAAAAATTGTTTCCGCCAGACAGGGCACAGAAGTCTGCCTTGATCAGTGAAACGGACATAGACATATGTTTGCCCCATGCCCCACGAGGGGTAAACGGGATTGCACACACTACACACAATGTATTGCAATAAGGTTGCCTGGAGGAGAGCGCTTCTTGATTTGTGTAAGTGTTATAAATAATGAAGCCGTAATAAATAAATATAACTTATGAATCGTTTTACTGTTTGTATATAAGTTTAAATATATTTTGTGTTTTAAACGTTAAAGTGTTCATTTAAATAAATTACTAAGTTTTTGAAAATATATAAGCAATTAATTATAATGGGAAAAATCTAAAACTCAGTAAGCTTAATAGTTAAACGTACGAATAGTGTAACAGCCCAGGTATAGAAAGTATAATAGGTGATAGGAAAAGTCTTACTAGGACTTAGTGCTCTTCTTAAAACTGTTGTTTCAGACTCTGCTTAGAGTGAAAAGTCGATGGTATGTTTGAAAGACTTTAAAAAGCATTATTCCGTTCTCTATAAAAGTCTTCTCAGAACGTCGCTTGGATATACTTTTAAGTCGTATCAGTATTTACGAGTACTCTAGACAGTAAATCTTATTGTATAACGCATTGCATTGTATGCGTGATACAATAAGCATGAGGCGTTCTTAATTCAAATATAAAGAAAACTATTTAAATAAAACACTAACTACTTGATCACGATTTAAGCATTCCGGATGCTTAAATCGTCGGGACGTTGTTAAAATAAATTTTGAATTAGTTAACTAATATATGTCCATTTTGAAACCGTTACAAGGGCTTTATTTAAAGGTGTACTATAGCGTAGACTAGAGATAATCTACATTTAATGTAATTTATTTGAATTACATAGCTGACACAGCTAGAATTTATATAAAATACTAGCTGTGTCAGCGACTTCGTCCGCATGTAATTGTAATTTAAGACATCCAAATTTGTTTTTACAAGCCTCCTTTTTATCTTGATAAATTTAAGCTATTACCCACGATGTCGAACGCGTCCCGTCGTTCTTGCAAGTTTATCTTACAAGATAGACATATAGTGTCGCGGACTTTTTTATATCATTTGAAGACAAATCATTCTTTGGTACATATTTTTTGGGTATTTTGAACAGGTTTCGTAGCGTACGTATCAGAAACCCACAGAGATAAATAATTTACCCCGTTTTTTCCATACTTCCCGCTGTTTCTTTGCTCCTATTAGTCACAGCACGATGTTTTATAGCCAGCATTCCTCGACATGCTCTAATCAACACAAAAATGATTTATGAACTCAAACAAATAATTTTTCAGTTTAGCGCGTTCAAACAAACTCTTCAGCTTCTTATATTAGTATAGATAGATAGAAATCGTAAACGATACAAAAAGAGTATAAGGCAGTTAGAGGTATACTTTAAAATGATTGAGACGGATTTAAATCTACTGTAAGGAATATTGCTCACCTGCTATAGCTCGTCCCAATAGCAGCGTGCTGAAGACAATAGACAACACCCTCCCATCACATCTTGCCACCATCTTGTGCTGCCTTCTATCATCAACTTATTCCGGAAATCATAGTCTTCACCAAACTCTAACACTGAGTGAACACCAACTTAAGTTTTAAGCTTTCGAATCGCCCATGTGCGTTGTTGATATATAGTTATTGCGAACATTATATTATCGGTGTCACCTTGATATCATTAATTTGACCACTGAAATTTTCAGACAGAATCACTGAACAACTGATCTTTAATAGACTGTATTGAAGCTAAGTGATGCAAAATACCGTTTTAAAGATGTGTTGTTTCTTTTTGAAAAGTTTCTTATCCAAAGGTTAGAAGGGGTTGATATTACTGACTTCACTGTTTGTCTCTCTGTTCTAGCTACATTGTAGTTCTCTTTATCTAGTAAAACATACACTGCATAAAAAGATATTATAATATGAGATTTCTTTGCGTAATCTTGTTTACCTAATCTATAGTACGAACTCTTCATGGCCGAGTACGACTCGTACGTGGCAGGCCTTAACATTTAATAAAACACTTTTTAACGTTTTAAACGCGAAATTTATTAGGTATCATAAATTTGCTAGTTTCTCCAAATACAAACTACTAGGAAACAGATGGCGCTTGCGTAGCAGAATTTTCTTTGACATTATGGACACCCTCTATTACTCCCCCTTGACTACAGGTGCTGCAAAGCATTCAAAACTAATACATTTCTTGTGTTAAATCATTAAAAAGTGTTATTAATTAAAAAGTTTATTAAATGAGTACTACTCGCGTAAACGACAGAAAAATTTTGTTTAACAATTATGTCATCGTACATAAGGTTTGTAATTTACCGATCTCCGGTTTTTACACAAATTACTCTTGAATTTTGTGTAGAATTCAGTATTAACAGTTTCCAGAATTAAATTAATTTACAGTTCAATTTTAATTATTTAATCCTACCATAGAGCGAACTAGACCGCAACTGTAAAGTAATAATTCTATTAAGCATCGTCGCTTTTATTCCCAAATGAATGAAGCGGGATAAAAATGAGGACAGTATTTTTACACCACTGTTCCCATTTATTTACCACCTTCAATAATTACTTACTACTAATTATCTGTAGTTTACGCGAGTGGTACGTATTAAATAAAACACTTTTAACCTGAGCTAAAATCATCACTACCGTGCTTTAAACCGTTTAAAATGTGTTATTTATTAACATATACACACTTTTTATTCGTTTAACCCTCTACTTAGTATCTATACCGTAATTATACTACGTAGTACTCAAAATGGCGGGTTGTGTTGAAAAATAATTGAATTATTTATATATTTCCCGCTTTAAACCGTTTAAAGTATGTTATGTATAATATATACACTACATATTAGTTTACGTTTTTTTAATATTTCCATTTTTTTAGTACAACGGATTATAAAAAAAGTCTAATGTGTTAGTTATACACATACTTTTTATAATCTTCATTTTTTCTCTTGTTTTTACGTAGTTAATACAACAGTTCGTTGATAAAAACAAATGATTGATGTATATCGCGTTTCAAACCATTTAAAGTGTGTTATTTATCTATATATAGACAAATACTATTAGTTTAATTGTCTTCTTAGTTTATTTTGTCCTTGTTTTTACGAAGCCAATCCAAAAATATCCGTTCTTTGTTGACGACGTACGATTTGGTTGATGAATTCATTAAATTGCAGATTTTATTTCCAAACAATACTCAATCAAACCGCTGCAAATTCAGCGAATCCAAATTTAATAATAACTCTTGGCACGTTTCAACGGACGCTGATCTGTGTCACTCTTTTGTATGAGTTCATTACATACGATAGTTTCATATAAACCAAAGAGAAATTTAAAAATCAACAACACGGGCGAGACTCGAAGCCACGACAGCATTCACGGTGGCTCAGTTCTGGTTTCCCGAAGCTGGGGTCCCACCGACGCCACTAACAACTAATTTATAATTTATTTAAGATTAATACGTAACTAAATAAATTTTAAATTTACCAGTATAGATACTAGAGATTAAACATCGGTTTTTTCAATAATTAAGCCAAAATTACTGTTTCTTACAAATATGTGTTTGTAAAAAAATATCTATATATAGAATATATTTATCATTTTAAATAATTAAAGTATTTAATTTAATTTGTGGAGTAAACGTTGTATTAGAAAAAATTGATCTTTTTATACACTTTATTTAGGCGTTGAACTTTTCGCGGAACGACAAGAACAACAACAGTTTATCGAAGTTTGGAACGAAGAAAATTACAAATGAATCCATGTGGGGTTGTAACATGGTCATTTGTTAAATTGGACGAAGATATTGCGTGACTCGCAACTAGGCGTTGTCGAAAACGCGTGACGCTCCACGCACGCAATGTGTCACTCGACGACTTTTTAACCGATATCGAAACGAAAAAAGGGGTAATTCGTCCTACACTCGTATGTTGGTCACGAAAATAGTGAAACTAAGTATTGACTAATTTACGCGAAGTAAATAAGACACTTTTAACGGTTTAATACGCGAAATGCATTACTTAACTTTTCGAATACTTTACAGACCTTGATACTTCACTGACCTTGAACACGTAAGTTATACATATCGCGTTTTAAACCGTTAACAAGTGTTTTATTTATTGAACAAATCAACATTGTGACAAAGTACCTAACATACATTTTAGGATTCATTCTAAACAATAAATTCTAAGCTTGAAAGAAATACTACTCTGATAATCATTGCTTGTTATATATCTAACCATGAAATTGTATAATGTTAACATTTAGCACTTTCTTATGATAATATCGTGTTCCTAGTAAAACCTAAAAGGCAGTGTACTGTACCTTTTAGGTTTTACTTTGTGACGTCATTATTAGTCTTTAAACTGATATTTCATTAGAATTAACTATGGCGACTACAGAAAGAAATTACCGCTATAAATATGTTTAAATCTATTGATTGATATATTTGATACATTAAAAAACTTTTCTTATTAAATGAATGTGCATTGTGAAAGAAATCTAAGAGGAGTTTTTCCTAGCACGAATCTTCGCGTCCGTCGACGGACGGCACCGCTATTGATGCCGGTTCGAGACGCGCGAATCGAAATAAAAAAAAAGATAGTTTCATGTGGAAGTAATAAAAGTTTTTAAACGAATATTTTTTACAGACTCGAATACCAAAGGGTATAAAAACGCCGTAGCATCCTGGCATCCATACAGAGGATCATAAAACGAATCTAAAAACACAATCACGGTGCGCTGGATGATAAACGTGCCAATTTCAATTTATCACGACTTTGGGCCAATAACATGAGCGAAAGAAATGACCAACAGTCTGATTCTGCTATTTTCACTCGCGTGTCGATTGCATGTCGCTGGTCTCGTACAATAGTTAATCACTGTCGCGATATGATGTCCATTGGCTATTCAAAATTTATGTAATTATTTACATATTCTACCTTAACAGGATCCTAATGAGATGATCATGATCATTCACAGATGTACACATAATTATACTATTTACGTATACTTGAAAATTATATTTATTGCTACTGTTGTGATTTCTTCCCGCAGTGAAATACATCTATAGCCCGGTCTAGTATTGAGGGTCCGAAGTGCAAACGTCAAGATCACCTAAACTCACCGAATAAGTGCGTGCTCTGGAGTGCAATGAATTACCAGATGGGCTGTGAATTACCAGAATCAGGGCCCAGCACAATAACTCGCTTTTATGTCGTATTTCACGTCCTAAACATAATGGTTTCACGTACGTCCAACCTTGACGGGAAAAAGGCAAAGATAAAAACCTGAATGGTAATAGAACATTGATACATTTATCAATTTCTCAACTTTTCTATATCTAGTTGGTGAAAGAACGCGTATTTTGGTCACTAAACTATGTAGAACATAAGGGCTTATATTATTTTTATATATGTCTTTAAAAAGGATTTGAAAAGACTTAAACAGGATACCAAGCTGTTGGTGATGAGTTTGAATCCCGCCTGGTCACTTTGAGTTTTGACACACTTTGAGCTTCAATATTTTTTCAATTTATTACTTGAATGACAAAAACATTCTAAGAGCTAGTTATTGTTTGCACAACTCAATTTTGTCTTGTGATTTATTTTCATGGACTTGAAATGAAATATTACGCAAAATACCCATTAATAGTTGACAACTTTGTTGTTATTGTTATTTGTCTTTTATTTAAGTCAAATAATAGAAATGCACACATAATGAATATATATTCACAACCTCGTTTTACAAAAGTTAAAATCTGGTATCAAAGAAATAAATCAAGTAGGCTACGATATTTAGGGTAAATTTGAGCTAATAGGAATATAATGATAGATAATAACTATAATTATCCTATTGTTATTTAGATTTTTGACCTTTCACCGCGAAAAAACCTCATAAGAGTGTACAAAAATTGTACTTTTACCCTTGTTAAAAATCTTTCCGCTGCAGTGTTATTAACAACTGGTTGCTAATTTTGTACTCCTGGAATAATAATGTAAATGGCTAACAAGCGCAATTTTTAAATGAACCTTACATTGTTAATGTAATATTATAAGCTATCTGAATGTAATCTATATAAGTCAACAAAATAAAGATGACACAGGCGGGACTAGAAGTCACTACCGCAGCTTAACCTACCGTTACCACTGTAATCCTGTTTGATAAGTGAGGGTAAGCTATGGATTATTCGTTTTCAATAAAATATCAAATAATATTAATGAAGAAAAAGTATATATTTTATAACTTCTTAAATTGTTAGCCTGTTATTTTTAAAACTAGATAAGAAAAGTTTAAAAACAATTTCAAAACATCCCTGAAAAACTTTAAAGTTTCCCGTTTCACGAGCAACGCGTCCAAAACGTCAGCATTGCTACAAGCAGAATGTAATTATTTTCATATACATATATTTAAATACTGTCTATAGTTTACGCGAGTAGTACACATTTAAATAAAACACTTTAACGGTTTAAAACGCGATTTTTTTTTTTAATTTTTTTTATATTTTTTTTTTTCTTTCCCACTTTTCCCCGCCGGGGGGGGGGGGCGGGCCCCCCCGCCCCCCGGCCCGCCCCACCCCCCCCCCCCCGGGGCGAAAATTTATTTTTTTTTTTTTTTTTTTTTTTTTTTTTTTTTTTTTTTCTTCCCATTTTTTTTTTTTTTTTTTTTTTTTTTTTTTCATCAATCAGAGTTTTAAGGAAATTTATAAAAACGATTCTGTTACCAATTATCATTATTTAGCTCCATAAAATATTCAGATTTTTGTATGTATCGTGAGTATCGATGTGATATAGGAGATACGTTTATTACTTTCGTTAATGACTTTCATTAATTACAATAGCCAGTGACTATTTGTAATTTATTTTCTAACGTATCTTAAAATCATTTCAAAGAGGAAGTCACTTCTTGCCCTCGGTAACGTCAATCTTCTCAAGCTAAACACAAGTAGGTAAATGTATAAGTACGGTATCGAACACTCTCATTGTGTATTCTAAAGGAACTCTGAAGTTGCTTCTTCATTCATAAAGTATGGGATATTTTATGAACACGACAAAACGAATACGAAATATTTGTCTCAACTTTTTGTGCCAGTTAATTTTGTGATCATCTTGAATTCTGTTTAGTTTAATCTTAAAAATAATTGAAAAGTAAAAGCAGAGTAATAGAAACTAATCGCGAGGGTAGAAAAAGAAATATGTATATATAAAATATCTTAAGTCTTTGACGAATTCTCTTATTAAATCTGTATAATATCGCCATGAAATAAAAATATTAACATTCACTTTAGTTTAAGAATGCAATGGAAAAACTTTGAGGAGGCTAAAAATGCTTTTTGTCACTATTATTATACCTAAACAAATGGAAGTAATTTATATTACAATTTCGAATTTTATGATTACCAAAAAAAAATCACTTAATCACATCGCAACTCGGTCACTTTATCGCAGGTACCCGATTCGATATTAATGTATTTCTACTTGTTGAAGGTCCCGACCGAGCGCCAACATTCGCGGTCGGCGGAGCGTAGGCGACTGCGCTACCCGTTCATTCACTGAACAACCCGTGTTTACTTCTGTACTTAGAATCGATCTCACTGCAAGCGAAACTCGAATTCTAATGTCACTTGTAGAGTTTTTCTATTTTGGACGTCAATTCTTAACCAAGTAAGATAATACTAGTGTTGATAATTCTAATTTTAAAATTTTCGGAGAGTTTAAAAATTGTGTTAAAAAGAATAGTGTTTGCAAGTATCTTGAGAAAACCATTGTAGATCTGAATAGAAGGAAGGTAAAAACTGAACGACAAACAGATACATGTTGTATCTGTTTTAATTAATTCTTCTAACATCCCTGATGATGTCGTCCCCTCGTGATGGCGAAACGCCGAGAACCTCTACTCGCTCACGTCGGCCGAACAGCCCGAAAAACAATGATATGTTGAACGATGGCTGTGAAAGCCTTATACAATTTATTAAACAGATAGATATTATAAATAATTAAGTTGTAAAGCGCGTTTGTAAAGGTTCCCACGAGTTGCAACAAGAAACCTATAGTACGGGCTATGGTATGTGCGGGCAAAGTGACAGCCATATTTCGTAGGCTAGGGGTGAGTGCGCCCTCGCTTCAGGACAGTTTGTTAGTCAATTCCGGCCAATTTATTTTCATATTCCTTCACTTTTGAAAATTATTTTACAGGATATAAACTTCTGAAGCATTTCATAGCTAAGTAATAACTTCAATTAAAAGTAAATGCAATATACTTTAAATATAACACTTTTAAACGTAGAACTCGAAGGATAATATAAACATTTTTAAAGAATATCTTGATGTTTCAGACAAGAGCATCTGTAAGTATTTTTGTAGTTATGGTTGCCATTTCATACCGATAAAAAGTGCTTTTTAGTTTATATTATTCCACTTGTTGTTTTCTTAATAAAGATCTCATTAACGCTGCTTTCAATGCGGTTTCAGGAATCCCGATCATTTTAAAGAGTGTAGCGTGGCGTAAACAATGGGTATTCTGTTGTTATTGAATTCGTAAAAGAGAGTACTTACATGTGACACAGTTAATTAATTAATCATCCACTATTTGAGTGTTGACATGTCTACACTCTAATTCATGTTAATGGATCCTTACATTGGTGAATGATCGATTTTATATTTTAGGGTCAACATGACGAAGCCGAAACTCCTTGAAAGCGACTTCTATTGATGTTATCTCCAGACCGTGCTGCAATTAATCACCGTATTCTCAATTATAATACCTAATAGAGAGCAATGGTGCGAAAAGTGGTTTAAAAGAGATTTTTGTAAAATTGTTTACTCAGGTATCCTAAGCTAAAAATAATTACACTAAGCTATCAAATTGGACCACGTTTTTCTTATCATATCCGCTGCTTTTTCACCAATCATAATGTCTGGAGCTATTGTATGTCCGCTAATCGTTTTTGGTAGAATACTAATATCCGCCACCCGCAGACCTTCTATTCCACGTACTCTCAGCTCCGGATCAACAACGGCATCGGGGTCATTGGCTGAACCCATTTTACATGTTGAAACCTGTCGTCGCATAGATACCATCATAGTTCTTATGGCACACTCCCAGTACTGCTCGGATCCTAATGGATAAGATGAGCACGTTGGATAAGGAGCGAGGTGCAATGTAGCTCCATACTTCCTAAATGGTTCAGACTCTCCAATACTTATTACGAACTTTATAGCCTCTTTCAACGCTGCCATATCTCTTGCGTCAGTCAAGAAGTTACCAAATATCTTTGGATGGGAGAATGGATTTATATCGCGTAATTCTAAACAGCCTTTAGATTTTGGATGTAGTAATACTGGTATAGCTTGCCATGTATCAACACCAGTTAGAGAGCCAAACGCGTTGTGATATGTCCTATCAGATATCTTCCAACTCTTTCTTATAGCTGCACCTCCATCTAATGTGAGCGATCCACCCATGTTGATTAGTTCTATATCTGGTACTTCAGAGTTATCAGACACGCTCGTTTTAATGTAACCCACACCCTCCACGCCTCCAGGCGACGTTAAAAGACCGTCTCCGAATTGCAGCCACTGCATTAAGTTGGGTAAAGTTGCCACCTTCGGTTCAAGAAGACTAGCGTTAGTGCTGTTCAACCTAAAGATAATTCCTGGGAATCCAATGTGATCATACAAAGTCCTTCCAACAGGTATATTTGACAGGACTGGAATGCCTAGAGTTTGTAAATGTTCTTGAGGTCCTATTCCGGATAACATAAGTAATTGTGGAGAAGCGATTGGGCCAGCAGAGACTATGACTTCTCTGCGACAGCGCACGGTGTATTTAACATTATTCTTTATGTAATCAACGGCGTACGCTCTCTTGCTTTGTGGTTCAACAATTATTTTGGTAGCTTTAGCTTCGGTTAGAATATGCAGATTTTTGCGACGTTTATGTTGATGTAAGAATGCTTTGGCAGCGCTGAGCCGGTGACCCTTATTTGTAATTGTTTGAATGTAACCAAAACCTAGCTGGTCTGGCGAAATATAATCTACAGTCTGGTAACCGTTTATTCTACCTGCAGCGAGGAACGCTTCGACAAGTCCAGTCCTAGAATTAAAAATAGACCATAATTACCAAAATGCTCAATCAAATCTTTAACACTAGATGCTTTTTTATGGTGAAGTAAGCTTTAGAAAAATCAACGTATTTTTATTTCTGCTTAAATATATAATTTACCATACATGAATAATTGAAAAAAGTTCCAGGTCAAAGATGTTAAGTCCAAGTGACTATAATCATTATAATTATGTGTATATCAGATAATTAGATGGCGAGAGCCACTTACTTGAAAGGCACATTTTCAACAGTGAGCTCTCCATCGCGACCTCTGTACGGCATGTTTTTATATTTTTTCAGCTCAGAGCGCTCTGACTTTTTAAAATACTCGAGCACTTCATTGTATGACCTGGAAAGACGAGAGGTATAATATAGGTTTGATAGATTAGGCAAACTCTAGAATACTAAGTGGTACGTGGATTCTGTTATCGTGGTAATAGATCGTAAAAGTGCTTGCGGGCTTACGTGTTCAACTCTTTGCAATGTCTGAGAATGGACACGATAAGTTCATTGTAGTCGTAAAATTCAGATCGATCTGGAAACACTTGTAGTCTTTTCATGTTTTAATACTATACTGTCTTAATATTTTTGGCACATTTAAAATTTCATCATTTTGGGAGCTGTTTCTAATTAAGTATACTTTTTTGAAATCTTAACAAATAACTTCTTTAACCTTCAATAAACCATAGTTTAGCTCACATTAGTTTAAGACTATGTCGTAAGCACACACATCTTTCGGACTTCCTGATAATGACTTTTAATATCATAATTTTTATATAAAATCATGTAATTCAATAATCGACATTTCTTTAAATACTGTCTATAGTCTACGCAGTAGTACAAGGTTTAAAACATATATTATTAATTATTTGAAAAATTATTTTTAACTTCGGTCCGAAGTTTCGCGTAGAATAGTTATTTAGCATCAAAATTTGTTATTGCAAACCTCCTCATCTCTATAAATTATAACTGTTGCCGACGACGTCACGTCCCTTCGTTCTTGCAAGTAACTTTAATTGATAGACATATATTGTCGTAGACATTTTTTAAGATTATTTAAAGATGGATCATTCTTTCATACATATATGTTGGGTATCTTGAACCGCTTTTTAACAGAATCCCTCAAAGACTAATAATTATTCCAGTTTTATTCATATTTTCATCGCAGCATCGTTAAAAACTTCAATTCGATTAATTGCGTTACGCTTTAATACAAGAAAAACACTGGCCGTTGTACTTGAGTTTCTTGCAAGATTAAATTGTGTTTAATTTTCGGCTCGTTAGCAGGCACGCATTTCAAGAAGACTAATTAAGAAACTTTTATCTCGTTAGCGTCTCGAGGGCATAAGTACTATCGAGGACAGTGCAACTTTCAAGTGAAACAGTGTCGTGAAGAGGTTATAGAAGACTTAATGATTTAATGACCTCCTTTTAGGAAGAACAGGGAAAACAACGGTCCACTAAACTCCTTTATTGGGAACCGTCAAAGTCTACAAGTCGCTCCAATCTCGGCTCCTCAGACCAGCAAAAAAGTACGTCATGAAGATAACTAACCTTTTTTATTTAGATTCAGTCACTAGTTCTATGCTAGTTCCATTAAATGTATAAGCTGGCATCTTTCTATTACAGTATAATAGATTTTTATACATTAAACGTTTGTTCACAACATTTATCATTTTCAAATCCAAATAATATTTAGGAAGCCATTTAAATAAAACACTTTAACGGTTTTAAACGCGATATATATCTATTAAACTCATTTGATACTTAATATAATTCGCGATTTAAACCGTTAAAATGTTTTATATAAATGTGTACTACTCGCGTAAACTACAGACAGTATTTAGGAACGAATTCTTTAAAAACGCAGTTCAATTGTGTACATACCATCCGTAGTTCCCATCTGCGGCCATTTTGTCCCAGTCCTGCGGACGGCCTCTTGAATACAACATATAATCTGTGACACTACTACCACCTAAAGCTTTGCCACGGGGCGAGTAGCACCGTTGCTCTTCACTTCCTGTAATTGAGATAAAGCCTAGATAAACTTATTTTCAATTTCAAAATAATAAAAAAAACGCCTAACTATTTATGAAACTAATAAGACACTTATAATCTATCAATTGACATCGTGTCATAGTTTTCTATATTCATAGACAAATATGTACATTTAAATAATGTTATATATACAATTCTTCTACTGCAGCGTTCGCGAACTAGTCCAAAACGACTCGATCGATTTTAATGAAATTTTAACTACAATCGAGCAAGAATAGGTTCTTTTGGAGAGTATAATGTTTATATGTATAAAGCTTCCATGAAAGTTACATAAAACTATTATATATTTCTGACTGAAATTACGGTGGTCTTATCCCCCCCCCACTTCACCCGCGCAACGTCAATTAAAAAATGTAATATATAATGGCCACCAGAGGTAACCAAAGTTCTTCATAGTAATTGGTCTAGTTAATAATAATCTGGTGACTTCGTCCCGCGTTCAGTTAGCAACAATTCGCTAACTGAAAAACAAACAAGCTGGGTCTCGTTTGCTGTTCACTTGTTTGCACCTAACTGTTCGAGCTTGTCTCGCATTTCAAAACAAGTTCTCGATGTTATTCTATAAAATGCAACCTCATTCTTGAAATTATCACATACCGAATGCATGTATAGTTAAAGTAATTTACATTCTCATTTAAGACAATCTCCCCAGATTCACCATGCGTCCTGCTTATACATATAGAGTTTGGTAAAAATAAAACGCTTTTAACGGTACGGTTTTAATAACACATTTCGCGTTTTAACTATTAAATGTTATTAAACGTGTGCTAGTGCGTATACTACAGACATTAAGCTAAGAAGAAACACAAATTCGTTTTTTTAGCCCATACGGAGGTCATTCCAACATGAGTGTCGACTTATTCGGCTAAATTCTCCCGCGTGATTTTCGTTTGCACAGTTCGCGTATACTACAGACAGACGAGTATAATAACATCACAGTGTTCGACACATTCTACTTTTACCACACCTTTCTCCTTGTGGGGATAAATATGATTCGCTAAGAAACATATCTTTAATTATTTCTTTAAGAAAGCTTAAATATAACTAAAAATAAGCGGCACCAAGGTTCCTTTATCAGGAGAGGATTTTGAAGGATGCCTACGTCAGACAAAGAGCTCGCGAACCTCAAAGGTTTCATATATCTATAACCAGCGGTTTCGGCTGTATGTGTCAATAATACGAAGTAATATTGTTATATATAATCTCCATAGATCATACATTATTAAATCGGTAATCAAGTAGAACTTTTAAACAAAACACTTTAACGGTTTAAAACGCGATATATTTTAGTTAAACTTGTTTGAATTTTTTTCTTTTAACTATGGCCCGACGTTTCGGGTGCTTTGCAGCAGCCATGGTCACGGGGAGACATAATTTTCAAACAAGTTTAACTAAAATATATTGCGTTTTAAACCGTTGAGGTATTTTATTTAAAATGTGCACTACTCGCGTAGACTACAGACAGTATCTTAAAGTTTAAGTAGTCAAAATCTTAATTATTTTGACTAGAACATTCTACAATGCGAATTTCTTTAAAATCAAAATCTTACCTAAACAGACTCCCGTTTGATGTTCCATGGTGTATGGCCATACATAATCCGTATTCTGAAGATAATGCGTCAAAGCCGGAATATCGGACAAAAGCATTTCTGGTTTCCCCGCTTCCAGCAGGAGGACCGTAGCTCTTGGTTTGTCTTCTGTTAGTCTTGCAGCTAGTACAGATCCAGCGGAACTCGCCCCAACGATAATATAGTCATATTCATCTAATGGCTTAGTATAACCTGTAATATGGTATGCTTTCATTAAATTTAGCTTGCACTAACGAGCAAAGCTAAGATGAACTATCTTACGCCGTGTAAACTGAAAAATTAAAGCTTTTCCACGAACTTTAAAAGCTTAAACATCATTTAAAAATGTCGAGCAAAGGGCGAAATGCATCTGTGTCCGTTTTAATAATTCATTCATATAGGAAGGTTGTGCAAGCGAAACCATTATGTTTTTTCGCGGGTTTAGAATCCAGGACTCCTTGCGCTATTTACAGACAGTGCTATTAGTTGAACCTATGAAGTGATGGGTTCTATTAATATTAGATAATCATAAGATTAATCCATTAGAAAAATATATACCTATTCTCTGATACCATAATTAATTTTCCGTTAAATCTTTTTCCGTGTTATTGTTTATTTTTTATTAAAATAAGGTCTTATAAAATTGTAAAAAACACAAACGAATCTAGCTTCTAAATCGGCTTTACAAGGCCGGCGAAGTTAAAATATTATCTTACAATGAGTCCCACCAAACAAATTTGGAGAATAACAAAATTTGTATTCAGTAGATTTCATATCTATGCAATTTTTGAGTGAGTATCACAACAGAGTTGTGCAAGAAACTTTGAGATTGATTTATTATTCATATCATTGATTCTAAAATCGGTAGTTATTTTCCTTCTCACTTTATGTATGTTCGAGACAAGGGAGTTTTATATGTATTTGTACATATTTTTTTTATAAAACACTAACGGTTAGAACGCGATATATATAAGTTAAACTTATATGCCGTTGTCACAGGGAGACTGTTTCCCATGACCATTGTTGCTGCAAAACATCCGAAACGTCGGGCCGTAGCTAAAATAATTTTCAAATAAGTTTCACTAATATATATCTCGTTTTAAATCGTTAAATTGTTTTATTTAAATGTGTTTAATAAAAAAAAAATTGTTTAATTATTGTTTTCTTTTGTGTCATAAAAGTTATACACGCTTTCATCTAATGTTTACATAGCATACAACTAAGTGAGTTTATCTATCGATTTTATTTTGAATATAGTGACAGATATATTTCCCAGATTACGAATCCAAGACTACTCTCTCTTAAAAGTTGAATTACAGTAATCAGGAGCATTAATATAGCGCGGCCTTCCTGGCACTTGTTGTCAAATTTTTATCACTAGATTTATTTTCGTGGGACAACATTAATTATATTATTGTTCGACTCAATATGAGACTCATTTATTGGCTATTGTTACTAATGAATTGTACTTACCTTTTGGTAATGGATAAGAATCGCGTAAGAAATCAAATGGATCGTTAGAATTCACAGGCAAATAATTCACAGCCACTGTTTGCAACATCATATCTACTATCGGGCTCTGTGGGTATGAATAGTGGGCGAATCTTGCTTTTCTGCTGTCTTGCTCGTCCCTAGTCAAAGGATAAGGCCAGAGTATCCGTCTGCTTCTAGAAGTTTTAGTGTCTTCGATCTCAATGAGATTATCCGTGTAGGGCTCATCTTCGACGGGAAAGTCGTCTTCTGTGTAAATGTCGATCGCTTTTACGTGTAATAATGTTATTACAAAGATGGCGAAAAACAAGCGACGCATGGCTGAAAACAAGGTTTTGTTATAAATAAAAAAGTGAATTTGACATTTAGCTTTTGTTTTTTATTACTTTTAGCAACATAAAATGACTGGATATTTTGGTCGTTGTCTTAAAAAAATAAGAATTTAAATATGTATTACTCTATAGGGCGTTTAGATTTTTATTTTTAATTAAAGGATTCTATTTACAATACAAGTACGTTTTCTACGCCCTGTTGATCATTGTCCAGCCTTAAATCTACTAACGCATTTAAAGAGGTTCTAGGCAACGTTTTTATCCTTAGATATATTAAATTAATTGCTAATATATAATAAAACAAGTTGTATACAAAATAATTAAACCGCGATATATTTTGCTTCACTTATTTACAATTTGTTTTATATTTTGTAATAATAAGTTAAATAATATAATTCCCGTTTTATGCCGTTTAAATTGTTTTTTTTATGTGTATTACTCGCGTAATTCTTAATAAACAAAAATATATAATCTACTAATTTAAAGTGACGAATCTCGTCACAGTTCTTAAGTCAGTAATAAATAATTAAAAGATCGTAACAATTATTAACAATAAAAAATTATATCCTACGCGTAATTGTTAATTAAAAAAACCTTTATTTAATAAATTAATTGTTGAAAGTTGTTTACTATACTGAACGTTACTTACCTACTGTTCTCTTGGTGTAATATTATATTTTCTTCCAGTATCCCGAGTGTTTTGAGCAATGGTCAGTTCGCGAATGGCTTCGAGTCAGCTGTGCCGGCTTTCCAGTCCGCACCTTGACCGTGTACTCGAATATACCGCTACCTGCCCGTAATTCCCAATATCGAGCAAGACAATTTTTCATCTTACACCGTCTACCGGTCGAAGTACGGTGATTTGATTGCTTTTTCGCAAAACATGTATACTGATAAAATTTGATTAAAAATTATCTTAAATGCACCATTAACGGAATTCCGTCTTTTAGCGGAGTTTATTACGCTTTTTTATTGACTAGCTGATATAAGAATGTTGTTTTGTTTGCAAGATTTACAGATAAGTGGTGATAATGCATAGATTTCGACCATAGATTACCATTAAACAGTCCTTGCGAGTTAATCGTAAAAGACAGACACGAGGATATTTTTTAGATCATTTAAGAAGGTCAGGTCTTTCAAACATTTTTTTTTTGCTTTCGTGAACCGTTTTTGTAGCGTACGCAATAGAAGCACGCAAAGTTGAATCATATTCCCATTTTCCTTCCGTTTTTAAGCGTTTCTTTGTGTAAAAGATTTTTCGCAAATGCAGTTACCGAAATTTAAACAAACAAACAAAATATTCATATTTTTTATATCAGTCATAGGTAAAAAACAATTGTCTACAACAGACACCAATTTTATATTTACGTTACCACTAACAGAACTTCTATCAAAATATGTATAGCCATTTTCTAATTAAAAAAATGCGTTGTCATAATTTTTTAAGAAACGGGAGGGTCTCGAACTTACATCCACAGTGTAGCATGTAGTTCGTCGTTCAAATCGCAAATGTTACATTTAAAAGTTAGTGAGACGGGCGTAACGCCTCACGTAACGAACAGTTTACCAGTACACTACAATTACTAGCAGTTACATCTAGTGTTATTTAGTTTTTATTTGTATATGATTTATACAAAAAAAAACAAAATAACAACCCATATTTAATACATTAAAGGTAACAAGTTAATAGCAGTATGTATCAGCGATACGTATCTGTTCCTTTTGTTGCTAGCACATATTATTCTCGTCAATTTCTAAACTCTAAGATATTTTGCAAACAATATAGAGAAAGTACATTGTTGTTTAGAGGAGGGCTTTGACCCTCTAAACCTACACTAAATAAGTATGCCTCACACAAGGCACGACATATTAGGAAGGACAAATAGCACGACTGCATTTGTTTGTAAGTTCTCTTATGTACATGATACAAATAGAATTGTGAAACTAGACTTTACATCCGCAATTAATAGGTATATACATTTATATAAAACACTTTAACGGTTTAAAACGCGATGTATTAGTTAAACTTATTTGAAAATGATTTTGTCTCCCCGTGACCACGGCTGCTGCAAAGCATCCGAAACATCGGGTCGATAAAAATCATTTTCAAATAAGTTTAACTAATAACGCGTTTTAAACCGTTAAAGTGTTTTATTTAAATGTGTACTACTCGCGTAAACTAAAGACAGTATTTAGTAGGTATATACATTCTATTTTTAAAATAGCACTTTTAATGGTTTAAAACGCGAGATATATAGCATAGTAGGTCCCCTAGAGACCACAGCTGCTGCATAACATCCGAAACGTCGGACCGTAGTAAAGACCAATAAATATAAGTTAACTAATATATTATTATACTATTAAAAGTGTTTTATTTAAATGTATAAGGCCTCGTAGAAATTGCTTAATGTATATGTATACATGCGAGATGTATACACATAAGAAAAACCAAATACACGTATATAAAGTTTCATATCACATCTGTAAATTGTATTTTTTATAAAAACTATAAATAGTAACTTGTATCTGGTACACTTTGTGTTGCCATAAAGGTTACTATTTAAGTATATATTGTTAGAAATCAGAAAAGCCCCACCCCCCCCCCCCCCGGGGGGTTAAAAAAACACCCCCCCCCCCCCGCCCGGGCCCCCCCTTCCCCCCCCCCGGGGGGGGGGGGGGGGGGGGGGGGGGGGGGGGGGGGGGGTGTTTTTTTTTTTTTTTTTTTTGGGGTGTTTTTTTTTTTTTTTTTTTTTTTTCCCCCCCCCCCCCCCCCCCCCCCCAGGGGGGGGGAAATTTTCCCCCCCCCCCCTTTTTTAATTTTTTTTTTTTTTTTTTGGGGGGGGGTTTTGGGGGGGGGGGGGGGGGGGGGGGGGCCCCCTCCCGGGGGGGGGGGCGGCCCGGCGGCCCCCCCCCCGGGGGGGGCGCCCGGGGGGGGGGGGCCCCCCCCCCCCCCCCCCTTTCCCCGGGGGGGGGGCCCCCCCCCCCCCCCCCCCCCCCCCCCCCCGGGGGGGGGGGGGGGGGGGGGGGGGGGGGTGGTTTCCCCCCCCCCCCCCCCCCCCCCCCCCCCCCCCCCCCCCCCCCCCTGGTTTTTTTTTTGGGGGGGGGGGGGGGGGGGGGGTTTTTTTCTCCCCCCCCCGGTTGTCCCCCCCCCCCCCCCCCCCCCCCCCCGGGGGGGGGGGGGGGGCGCCCCGCCGGGGCGCCCCCCCCCCCCCCCCCCCGGGGGGGGGGGGGGGGGGGGGGGGGGGGGGGGGCGGGGGGGGGGGCCCCACCACCCCCCCCCCCCCCCCCCCCCCCCCCCCCCCCCCCCCTCCCCCCCCCCCCACACATAATATCACATTGTAAAAAATTTTATTTATAATATTTTATTTGGGTTTGTTGGGCGCCCACGGAGGGAGGGGAGGGGGGAGGGGAGAAAAAATAATATTTTTTGTTTTTTTTTTTTTTTTTTTTTTTTTGGGGGGGGGGGGGGGGGGGGGGGGGGGGGGGGGGGGCCCCCCCCCCCCCCCCGGGCGGGCCCCCCCCCCCCCCCCCCCCCCCCCCCCCCCCCCCCCCCCCCCCCCAACAACCCCCGCGCGCCGGGGGGGGCGGGGGGGGGGGGGGGGGGCCCCCCCCCCCCCCCCCCCCCCCCCCGCCCCCCCCCCCCCCCCCCCCCCCCCCCCCCCCCCCCCCCCCCCCCCCCCCCCCCCCCCCCCCCCCCCCCCCCCCCCCCCGCCCCGGGGGCCCCCGGCCGCCCCCCCCCCCCCCCCCCCCCCCCCCCCCCCCCCCCCCCCCCCCCCCCCCCCCCCCCCCCCCCCCCCCCCCCCCCCCCCCCCCCCCCCCCCCCCCCCCCCCCGGGGCGCGCCGGGGGGGGGGGGGGGGGGGGGGGGGGGGGGGGGGGGGGGGGGGGGGGCCGGGGGCCCCCCCCCCCCCCCCCCCCCCCCCCCCCCCCCCCCCCCCCCCCCCCCCCCCCCCCCCCCCCCCCCCCCCCCCCCCCCCCCCCCGGGGGGGGGGGGGGGGGGGGGGGGGGGGGGGGGGGGGGGGGGGGGGGTTTTTTGGGGGGGTGGTTTTTTTTTTTTTTTTTTTTTTTTTTTTTTTGTTTTGTGCGCCCCATATTGATAAAAGTAGTAACAAACTTGTATCAAGATGTTTTATCTGAGTGATCCAAATCTGTTCTCAAACCTTATAAGTTATATACGAAATTTCATTAAATTGTTTCATCCGTTTTGGATGAGTTACAGGAGAAACACACATATTGGATTTTAGAAATAGTCACTTAAACCTGCGAGCAAGAATGCTACATTACTATACTTTTTAGTTAGTATCATACTTAATGTCTATAAGTCATTATAAGGGACACTTATAATGTATCATGAAAATAATTTGAATAGGGACTTTCCCGGAATTTGCAACAATGCAAAGTGATAATTTCGAAGTCACGATGGCTCACAGCCAATGACCTACACCGCTTCTATGTAAACTAAGCTTTATCTATACATTATGTTATTAAAATAATACTTCGATTTTGAATGCCCCACGCCCCATGCTTCATGTCGCATGCTCTATGCCGCATGCCCCATGTTGCATGCCTCAATTCGTATGTCCCATGTCGCATCGTCTAAGCCGCATGCCTCAAGTCGTATGTCCCAAGTCGCATGCCCCATGTCGCAATCGTCTATGCCGCATGCTCCATGCCCCATGTCGCATGCCTCAAGTTGTATGTCCCAAGTCGCATGCCCCATGTCGACGAAACAAGATTACACATAGTAATAGTTAAGAAAAATCATTATAAATTAAAACTCGTTTTACACACTATAAAGTTGATTAAGTAAACCGCATACTTGCAACTGTTTATGAATAATATATGTTTATATAAACATAATTATATATACCGCTTGGTATAATTTATATGTTAGTAGTGGCTTCTCATAAGATTAGTATTATGGTATTTGATGATACATTTATAATTGCTAATATGGAATGTGAACTATGACGACGTCTTCATGAATAGAGTAAAACTATTTCTATGTCTAGTCAAAATGTGCTTATTACGTCATTTAATATGGTTTGAGTCTATTTTTTTTAATTTTCGATTCGTCACGGGGTCGTTCTTGGATTCAGGAGTTTGATCCTTGAACGGTCGCGTACACTTTAGCGAAAAAACAAAACAAAGTAACAAACCTGGACGGATAATAGGAGAGATTCGAAATTAGGAATAATTAAAGAAGAGTAGAACCCCTCAAAGATAAATGATATTTCCCATAACTTCCACCGTTTCTTCACTTCTTTTTGTCGCAGCGTAATGTTTGCCTAAAACATTCCTTGACAAATGGTCTACCAACAAAAAAACCTACCACTATCCAAAGTTCCTGAGACTAGCGCATTTAAACAAAGAAACAAACTCTTCGACTTTACAATAGATAATATAAATAAAGTTGTCTTTAAATGTTGTGGTACTAAATAAAACGGGAGTAACATATTAAAGGAGCTATGTGCTTATTAATAATTTTGACTTTTATTATTATCTACGCTTAATAAGGCTCGAAGCATTCTGCCCAATAAATAATGCTTACGCCATTTCTCGCGTCAATTTAATAATTTCCTTTATTATTGCCACCGGCTCATCTCTCTAGCAAACAAAGCAAAATGAAATTATTTCGGCGTATTTTTAGCGAAGGATAAGTATTAAACATGTTTATTATAGTCGTAAATAGTATCAAGTAGAATAATTAAGGTCTTGGATGCAAATTATAGTAGCGGGCAAGATTTTTAACGATAGCGCGTGTATTTTACAACTTGAGTGTATTTTCTTGCGAGGAAAGTATTTTGTAGGTTTTCTTATCTTAATTTACGT